AAACCGCTGATAAAAACATCACAATAATCCACAAGTAATCCACATGACTCCAATCCATCAATTAATGTCTTGTGAAGTGAAAAGCTGCGTGTTTGTAATAAACAAATCCACCATTAAAGTGTTTATAGATTATTGTGATGTTTTTATCATCTGTTTTGTCTCATCTAAAACATCTGATAAAATAAACTCATCTACATCTTGGATGGCCTAAGAAAAATTTCAACAAATTTTCATCTTTGGGTGAATGATTCCTTTAAAATGGTACTGTTAAAATAGTGTTCTAGCATGCTGTTTCAAACCTAGACACTGTTGTGTCAGCAAGGCCTAAAACGCAAGTATCGAACCATTTGGTCAATCAGCTAGAGACTGAGCCTGCATCATCGGCATCTGACGAATCGTATTCATCAGCAGAGTCTGTTAGGGCAGGGTAGGGGCGGGGCTGGTCCAGATTGACGTATGTGACCTTCAGGCTGATGTAGTGCTCCCCCTCCAGGCTGGACAGAATACTCATCACTGCGGACACTAGCGTGGAGAAAGTTGGTCTCCTCTCAGGGTCAGGGTCCCAACACTGTAACATAATGGTGAATCTGCAGATACAGAGGTAATGGTCAGTCATCTCTCAGTTGGGTAATCTCTATTGAAAAGTGACTGGCAGTGTCATACTGTGTTCATAAATCAGAACTCAATCAGGCGTATGAACTTGAGTCACACACATTCACATTTTCCACTGCTGAACCTCACCACCGGTCATGTTTCCACATCCTGTTGCTACACTCTGAGTCACTATGCAATTTTTGTTTTGTTTTTAATGTATTCCAGAGTTTCTAAAGCTTTACAAAGAAGAAATGTGGAGGTGTCATGATTTATGTTCAAAACAACAACCTGTGATACACCATGGTATGAGTTAATGCATTATTATTTTTTATATGACACCTGTCGTTTGAGACTTTCGAAAACGCAGCAGACCCCGTATTAGTTTGAAAACTCCGGTGTTGTGTTTCAGTGTTAATGGACCAAAATGGAGACTTTTGAAAAAGTACGCTCTGCGTATCCTTGACGACCGTATAATGAATAACATCATGCTCATTGTACATATTTATGGTTGTACCTGAATGAATGGTCATGTGACATGCGTTTTCGGTTGTGTAGTGTGGACGGAGATCATTTCTGAAACGCAGTAAAGACGCCAGTGTAGACGAGGATCGTTTTCATTTTAAAACACCATTGTAGTATAAACAGGGCCTAATATGCTGATTTGGTGCTCAAGAAACATTCCTGTTGTTATCAATGTTGAAAACAGTTGTGCTGCTTAATATTTTTTTTAAACTGTCATACATGTTTTCAGGATTCTTTGATGAACAGAAAGTTCAGAAGAACAGCATGTTTGAAATAGAAATGTTGTAACATTATAAAAGTATTTACTGCCAACATTGATCAATTTAATGCAGTCTTATTGAATAAAAGCAATTTCTTAAAAAAAAAAAAACTATAGAAAAAAAATAAATCTCTTTTAAAACATTCCACAACATATTTTTCATAGCAACAACTCTGGCTAAAAGCTAAAGGCCTGGTTAGTGATTGCTGGAAGTTTCTCAAGGTTTACAAATTTTTGTAGTGTCACTATGTTGGTTTTTAAATATTTCCATCTGTCTGAAAGGGAATGATGATTAACTCTCTGGGCAGTGCTTGAGGTGTTGGATAATTGAAGGGACATTCACAATAACCTTTCAGATGACCTTTTCCACTGCTCTGAATACTGAGTAAGCGCTAAACCCTCTGAACCTCAAATGGTGGAAAAACACTAAACTTACTGACAGCTACTTAAAACTATTGCGTTTTCAAAAGGCCATGTCACTCTCTCTGTTCTGCTGTGGAACAATTTCCAAAAACAAATGAAAAGGAAACCTTCTAGAGAACTGAACCGCCCCCTTTCAATCAACCAAACTTTCTACTTTAGGTCGACAATTTTGATTAACTGAGAAGAGTAAGTTGGAGCATAAATACATATTGCAAAAAAAAAAAAAGGAAAAACTTACAATGGATCTGGACAATATTGTGGCTGAGGCAGCCGTCGGCCCTTTAGAAGGTAATGTGTGACGTCATATGGGTCAACTTCAGGATACGGACTGGCTCCTCGTGTGAGCATCTCCCATATTAAAACCCCAAAAGACCACTACAGTAAAAGACCAAATAAAAGAGTGTTGAGAAGATCACATGACAAATCCTAAATTTAATCCATTGGTTGAAGTAAACATGTTGCTCACCACATCTGACTTGGTTGTGAACTTCTGCGTCTGCAGGCTCTCAATGGCCATCCATTTGACGGGTAATTTGGCTTTCCTGTGGTCCTGAACACTGTAGTACTCCTTCTCCAGCACATCTCGAGCCATTCCAAAGTCTGCCACCTTTACAGTGTAGGATTCATCAAGCCTGAGCGAATATTGGTTCAGTCAGTTCCAAATTCACAATTGTCTGTTGAGCTTCAGTGTGTATTTGCATACATAAGCAAAGAACAGTTGGTAGGTCAATTTAAATAATTACTTAATTAATGTTCTGACATTCTGGTTTGGAGCCCTAAACTCCCCCGATATAGGAGAAGTAAAAAGAAGTTTGAAACACCTGAGCAGCGTTATACTATTAGCTAACATGTAAATACGTGCTGCATGTTTTCCTCTCAATGACAAAATAAATACTGCAAAAATGACAGCAGTGAGAAAACAGCAGTTAAGAAAGCATCTGATCATAGCAATGTGGATATGTTGGCATGAGCTCTGCAATTCAGCACTCCAGCCAAATCAAGTCACGTCTCATTTATTTATAGCATTGTATACAATAGATTGCTTTAAATAAAGCAGCTTTACAGTATTAAACATGAAAAATCAGTATCAGTGTAGCTTTAAATTAGAATTGCAACTTTAATTTCTACTATTAACAGCTCTCCAGTGTGTTCACATGTGTACTTACGTCTGACCTAGATGGACTATACAGAGAAATGAATCAGAGAAGGTTTCCACGTCAAAGTCAAGTTAAAGTTACAAAAATGTAATCGCCACAGACCAATGGTAGTTCGATGGTGTTTACCAGCTGAACTTTTCTGGAAAGTTCGCTTTGGCAAGCTATTCTGAACTGTCGAAACGAACTCCAAACAAACTTAATTTGGCTTGATTTTGTTTGAAATTATGTCACTCTAGTTCACTTATACAAATATATCAGGGCCTTAAAGCCAAATCTTTGTGCATGCAACACTCACATGCAATTGCGTGCTGCCAGATCCCGGTGTACAAATTTCTTTTGTGCTAGATACTCCATTCCTTTAGCAACCTGGAGCCCGAAGCCAATCAAATCCTTAACTGTGGGATTCTAGGGTAAGACGACAAAACTACATAAGACTCATATATAACAAGCACACATTGAGTTTGTGTAATTATTGGAAACATTACTGCTGGGGCTTCGGTAAAGGTCATGAACTTGATTCTGAGCTGTGCAGGAGGTTATGTTGTGAAGTCCATCCACAAATACAAAACTATTGTGTAAGGCAAAGGTAAAAGGCTAAATACATAACATATTTGATATGTTAAGAGTTTAAGTTCTAGCAACTGACCCTCTTCTCACAGCGAATGAAATGACGCAAGTCTCCGTGTTTCATATAAGGTAAGACCACCAAGGGAAGTCCCTCTTCAGGAAGCAGAATACCCAGCAGAGAGAGGACATTACTGTGATGAAATCCCTTCATCAGAATGCCCTCTTTCAGAAACTGCTCCACTTCTTCCACATCTGTTATTCCTACCAGAGAGACTGAATGTGAGAAAATACAGTTGCAAGTACACATTTATATTATTTAAGCCATTGAAGTCAATTTACATTTAGAGATCAGTCTTTTAAAAAAATAACCTATGTCTCAAAATATTGTTTAAAACTTTTGCATAAATCACTGCTACATTTATGCATGCAGACTCTTTTATCTGAAGAAACTTATATTGCATTCAAGGTACAATACACATTTAATCAGTTCATGCACTCCCTGAGAATTGTACCCATGACCTATTGTTGCTAAAACCACAATCTAATGTTTAAGCAACAGGAACACTACTGCTGCTACAGCTCATCGTGAGAAATAACTGGGTTTATTTTATCAGGCAGGTAATCCCGAGAGGGTAGTTCGGTTCTTCATGAGTATCTTTATGAGCTCTTTTCATTGAGGAGTTTCTTACTGTTAAGAGATTTCACAGCACAATGGATTTCTCTGTTGTTGTGGTCAGTGAGGTAACCATGGTAAACTGTCCCAAAGTGTCCTACAAAAAAAATAAAAAAACATGTTTATTAACAGTGCCAATAATCTTCATGTTTATAACATTACCTTATTCCCTTTTCCAATAACTCTTTGTTTTGTTTTTTTGTTTTTTTTTAGAAATTATGCAATATCTTGTTCTAAACCCTGGAGTTTGGGGTCAGTAAGATCCAGGTAATCTTCTTTTCTTTTAAGAATTGACTACTTTTATTCTGCAAAGACTTATGAATTAATCAAAAGACATTTATAATGTTATAAAAGAATTATATAAAAAAAAATTCTGCTGTTATGAATGTTCTTTAAATAATTCTGAAGAAAAAAAGCGTCATGATTTCCACAAAAAATATTAAGTAGCACAACTGTTTTCAACATTGATAATAATAAGAAATGTTTCTTGAGCAGCAAATCAGCATGTTAGAATGATTTCTGAAGGATCATGTGATACTGAAGACTGGAGTAATGATGCTGAAAATCAGCTTTGAATCACAGGAGTAAATTATATTTTAAAATAAATTTAAATAGAAAACAGTTATTTTAAATTGTAAAAACATTTTTACAATATTACTGTTTTTACTGTATTTTAATCAAATAAATACAGCAATGGTGAGAAGATACTTTAAAAATCGTACAGACCTCTAAACCTTGAGAGGTAGTGTATTAAACTTATTTTAAGCATACAGTATATTTTATTTATAAACACACCTTTTCCGATGATCTGGTGGTGGTGAACCTTGAGCATGGAGGCTGGGATCAGTACGTCCTTCACCTCCTCCAGCAGCTCAGGGCGGAAACTGGTGATGGAGATCTTCTCTGGGGGCATGAGAGGGGTCAGGGTTGTGTCCAGGGTGCCTGTGTAGGCCAGGCCGGGGAACGCCACGGCCCCAGTAGGTGCAGGGATGGTTGTGAGGGGCACTTCTGCAAACACCAAACAACCTAATGTTTCTAACGTATCTGTAGACTTCAACTTCAAAGTTTCATAAATTAAAATGTGTTGCTGATGTGAAGATGTTGTCTCACCACGTCTGTAGTCTCCTAAGGGACATAAATCCACACTATTATTACGTGAACGACTATGGGAAAAGTAAGACAGGCGATTTTCTGCCAGCGAAGCTGTGGGTAAAGAAGGATAAAACTGAATAAAACGGCCAGAGTCATCTCACTCTGACCATCAGGGGGTGCTGTTTTGGGGAAAAACTACACAGAACATTTCCATATGCATTTGCTATATGCCTGCTCACACTGTGCATAAAAATAAATGGTATGATGATATATATATAAATATTTACATATATCAATACAAGTACTTATCTAATATTTAAAATAATATAAATATATTTTTATAAATAAATATCTAATGTTTCAAATATTGTCCAGACTATTAAACATATGTGAAAATATTAATCTAGTTTTATCATCTAGATTCTTCTTGTAGACTGTACAATACATTTTTACAAATGAGTCACTGATGGATAAACCTGATAACCTGAGTCACTGATGGATAAAACAAATAATAATGCTTAATATCTCACCTCTGTGATGCCGGGCGGACAGGACTCATTTCCCCAGTGTTTCCTGCACTCCGAAGCCCAGGTGCACTGACCCGAGCACCAGCCACATCCCATGAACTTTGGTGCAATCAGACACATGGCGCATGTGAGGAAGTGCCGACAACCCGGACCTCTCTGAGGCACCTGAATCATCTGCCAGTTTTTAGAATTATATAATCATCATTAGCCCAAAAAAGGAATACAGCCTTCTGCAATCTTGGCCATATCCAACTGAAATACTAGCATACTTCATACTGCATACTACTTAAAAAAAAATGTAAGAGAAATCATGGTTGGAATTACATCTGATTAATTCCTTTAATTATTTTATGCTACACACCTTATCTCCAACCACAAACAGTAGATGGTCCGGGGAGAGAACCGCTGCGGTAGACGACACCTTCTGGTTCTCTACAAGGGAGTAATTAGCAAAGATAATGGGGCTGGACCTTCTCAGGACAAGCTGTGGCATAAAAAAGAAAAGAGGTTAAAGTAATGATTAATGAAACTGGCATAGTCTTCTTTATGATCCATACCTGCAGGAGTCTCCCGTCTGATGTGCCTATATGAGCCACTGTCTTGTTCTCGATGCTGGTGACCAGCAGTGAAGTGAGCAGAACACCTCTCATCTGTCTGTTGAAGAGGTCGACTCTGTAGCATGGCTGAGACACCAGGGTGGGCTGATCTCTGCAGGTCATATTGTGCTCCATGCTCTGATCATACATATGCAATAAAATAATCAACATTGCACTGCTTTATTAAAGTTATGTGTTCATTTTTATTTTTAGATGGTAGACAGACAGAGACAGACAGACAGACAGACAGACAGACAGACAGATAGCTTTGTTTTCTAGAGCTAAGAAGAAAATACATTTTAGTGAAATACATGGATAATGTTTTGTATATTTCGGATATTCCAGTAATCTAGGCCACCAATTTAGATTCTCACCACAAGAATTCCTAACATAACACAAAAGAACTCAATCTCTCATTTGGGTACTTCAGTACTGCAGTGATCACTGATCTGCTGTAAACTATCACATGTCGCTCTCTCCAATTTATGTATTGTCTGGGAGTCTGATATTCCAAACAAAAAACTGAAATTCCCAACATCAGACAAAAGACAACCACACAATGACTAACCAAATCATGGCCCTAGACAACTGTGAAGTGGCTGTGAGTGTGAACTTTCCTTATAAAGTGGTGCTAGCTAATCAAGACTGATGTTTTAGCCTGAAAATATTTTTTTTTTAGAAAAACAAAGACAGTCATGATAATTTTCACAAATTCATTTCCAGTGTGGAAACACTCTAATAATCTTTTTTTATTTCTGCATGTACAGTAGACTGATTTAACACAAATTAGAGTAGTTCTATATTTGCAGATTATGTTTTTTTACTACTACTACTATACTAATAATAATAATAATAACAATAATAACAATAATAATAATAATAATAATAATAAACACAGCAACACTTCTATCTGTTCAAATGTGTGTCAATTATACTTTTCAACAAGTGCATCCAAAATGAGTGATCTGGTGAGTGTCTCTCATTGGAATCTCAAAAATGACACTGTCATTTTCTCCTTTTTCCACACATTTCCCATAAACATTGACCTCAATGGAAAACCCTATTCTTTTAACTGCACAAACACACACTCATACACACATATCATCTGTAAACTCTGCTTTTATGGCAGAAAACTCGCAATCACACCTTGAGATTTCCGAGACATTCTCCCACACATTGTTTAGATTGTGAAAGTGGCTAATTCTCATCTGAACACTAAAATTATGGTCTTCGCAGCTTTTAAGAAATCTGAACCACATTTATTCAGCTTGTCACTCATTTCACTTGTACATTAGCATTATAGGAAAACAAAACAAATTGACAGATATGATATAAATTAGTTCATGTTTTTGTTTTAATGAAGGTTTTAAAAAGAGTATTTTGTAAGTATGCAGTGGCCATAAAAATAATTTACACATGTAAAAATTAATCACTGCATTAGATATAAAAATATCAAACCAAGTGGTACATAAGGGGAACTGATCTCATACATCCATTAAAAATCACCTTAACACATGCTGGTTAAATGTAACTGCAAATGGCTAGGCAAAAGAGCTCATTTTGAGAAAAGATTTAGCATACTTACATAATACACATACTCATGATAGTTTAAGAATACATACTACAAGCATTAACTCAGTGTTCTGCTTTCTTTCAAGTTTCTTTGACACCTTCAGTGGAGCCAAAACGTGATCTAGCTGCTGCATGCCAGAAAATGTTCCTCTAGACCACTTTGCCTTACAAGCGCATAATTTTTCCATTATCTATTTTTAATGTTCAAATAGCCTACCTACCTGTATATTCACAAAACTCAAAATCAGACTTCTAATGCTTGCGGTAATGAAAGAAAATTCATCCTGTAAGTGGCTGAGATTGTTTTCTGAGAATCCTGCTGTAGTACAGAGCAGGGGAACATTAGATTTACGCAGTTTAGATAATCTCACAGAACTACTGCAAGCTTGAATATGAAATTCATAACAGAGATGGTGCAGCAAAAGCTTCAAAGCTGTTAAAAACACACACACAAATAGAACAAAAGCACAGGCTACTTAAGCAACTTGTTTTGAACTTCATGTTAAAACTCAAAATGATGGAAGCACTAAAAACCTAGAAATTTGGGTTTTTAATGTTGGTATGCCAGGGTCAAGCATGGGTCATTCTTTTGCAAGTCTGAGTCAAGTTTTAAATAATTTCTTAATTATGAGTAAAGTCTCAGGCAATCAGACTCAGAACAAGCACAGCCTAAAGAAAACACTTTCAACAGCGAGTATAAAGCAAAAGCAGCCTCATACCTAAACCTGAATAATAATCACAGACTTATATTAAGAAATTCATATACTTTTAAGGCCTTTTAAGGGTTACAAGAACTTAGAACTCTGCATAACCTCTTTTTCAGGTCACAATGGTTAGACTTTCCTACAGGGACCAAACTGTTTTGCAACTTTGTTATTCCCAGTTATTCTATTGGACTACAATAGATGCTTTTATTTCCTGCATAAATGTTTTGGTATTTTGTGTGCGTGTGCCACAGGCAAAATAAAACTTACTAAGTTTCTGAAAATGAACAACTTCGTCTCAGAGTCTCAGTGTTAATGGTTACAAAAGGTTTTTAAATGGTTTCTTCAATCAGACCGTACAGTTTTTGATGAAGTGTAGTGCCTTTAGTGACACTGTTACTCTCTATAGGAGTTGAAGTCCTATACACAAGGACATGAGACAGAATACACAAGGCTTATGACCCACATTGTGGTCACTCAAACCATTTTACAACAAAAGAACAAAAAAGAAAGAAGCAAGCCAATTAAAATATCTTCAAGCTTTTGTTAAGAGGGCATGGCACCACAACTCCCACTAGAAAGCTTGGTAAGACTCAATGTAAACCAATACCATGCCACATGAGAGAGTGAGAAGGGACCAGACAGAAGAGTCAAAAAATAAGGCCAACGATGATGGACAAGAAATGCAATCCAACAGCCATTTCGAAACCACGCGTAATGTCATGTGTTAAAGTTAGATGTTAGAATCAGTGTGGCATTTACACATTTTAAATGTTTATTTGTGGCGTTTAATTGCAGTTTTCCATTGGAACAAGTCAAGGATCTTTTTTTTGTGGTACACAACAGTAAAATTTCAGTTGTTTTTAACCAAGAAAATGATTTATCTGCTAATGGTTCAAAACCATACAGAATATGAACAGATGATTGCTAACAAAAAAACAAAATAAACTGAGAAAATGCACCAACCTCATGTGGGCAGCTCTCACAGGGCTGAAAATGGCAAAGACCTCTGGAAAGCTGCTCTGGTCCTGACTTGCAACAGTCCTCTACTCCATCATCTATTGCCGTGTTTACCGTATCCATCGGAAATGCACAAAGTGCTGAATCGTGTTCAGGAACGCCCGAGTCATCGGTTACAGCAAATACACCATATAAGATATCCTCTTCTTCTTCAGCACCCAGCTCATCGGCGAGCTCCCGTCCAGCTTTGCCAAAGTGGGCTGCTTGAACCACGTTGTAGACCACATCTTTGAAAGGTTCGCTGCCATTGCTTCTCCTTCGCCTTTTGGGCTCAAAGCGACATTCTAAAACAATTTCACGGTAGCGTCGCATCTCCCACTCGTGGCGGGGCAGACGGCCTAGTCTTGTCTGAAAGGGCGACGAGTCCAAGTTGGTTTTCTCTCGTTGGACAGACAAGAAGTAGACGAAGTCCTGCGTGTAGAAGCTGTAGATGTACTCAATGCTGTATGTCTGCCGTAGAGCAGGCAACACCGTCAACCCTCTGACATCGGTGTAAAAACCGTCCTCGGTTGCAACCGGTCGGCGTACGGAAATGGACATGCGACCATATTTTTGTGTTACGCTGTTGTTCACCGTTGCCGCGACAAAGAAGTACACCGTTTGGCCCTCTTCCACCATGGAGACTTTAGTTCCCAAAGGACTAGCGATGCAATCCGGACAGAACTGCGGAGAGTTGAACTTCTTCCGGAATAAACACTTTGATGGCCCAGGGGGCTTTCCATTTTCACGGAGTTGATGGAAATAGCAAACTCCATACTGGGAGCTTCCACACGAGTACAAGTACATCAAGAACGTGTCTAGGAGCAACACCTCGTTGTCTGTGTCCTCACGGAAGGGATCTCTTGCGATATCACACAAATTGCATATCTCACACTCCGGACTGCCCACGGGTCCCGTATGGAGTTCCCAAAGTTTACCTAGAGTGATGTTCACCGCCTCAATGACATTCTGAGAGGCCACATAGACTTCTTGGAAAAGGGAGTTGGTAACTATGTTCTGGATGGGATTGTGGGTCTGGAAGTAAGGCATGGGGTACGGCACTGAGAAGTCCACAGCGATGGGAGCCGTTGGGGGACAAGTTTCTAATGCAGAAGACATTAGAGCCTGTATCCAGACACATGTCACCAGATGAGTGGCCCAGTGGACCATGTCCTCTCCAGGGTGAAGAAAATGGCTGTAGAGTGTTGTGGTTACCTCCAGCTGGCGTCTGTCAGTGAAGACATCCTGAGAACAGGAAGCCCTAAGACAACAACCACAAAAGAAGCTTAATTTTAAAATGGTTAATGAATAGACACACACAAAAAATGACAGTTCCGTGATCATTTAGTCAAAACCCAAAACACACCAGCCCAACTTATAGGAGACTGGCAAGTGGCCATAGTATTATAAAATAAAGGTTTCAAATTTAAAATTATGTGAATCAGTGACGACATAAAGAATGTTTTAATGTAATTGAGGGGGGAAATTATGTTTTGATTTGTCTTAAATGGCAAAAAGGACACGTTTCAAGTCTGTAAACACTAAAAGAGGTTTTGCTAATTCATGTCTGTCTGCACCTGCAGCTTTAAGTCATGTCTCTGCAAGAGAGAAAGTCATTAAAAGGTAAAAATAGATATTTCACATAACTTGCAAGTTATTTGCAAGTGTTTTAAGCAAAATATGAAGACAAATATAAAAAAGGCCTCTGGGAAAGAATGGTTGGCTTCTAACCACAATGTTCTATGTAATATTGCTTGGTTCTCATCTGAGTTATTTATTAACAGAGCTCATCACCATGTTCTACACTGAGGGCCTCTCAAATTGTCATTCTTGTCACAACCTAGACGTGCTTTTTTGTGCAAAAGTTGCAAACTGACTTTTGTGCTTTTCAGTCAAGAGCTTTTTTTAACTAGCAAGCGAGCTAATTACTGTTCAAAATCATGCCACAGCATCTGCACCTCTGCACTGAATGCATTCTGCAGACTACATGCATAAGCATTTATACATCTTCAGGGAAACCGTGGAAAGTATGTTTCTTTAAAAAAGCTCTTGACTGCTTGGTAGTGACACAAAAAAGAATCACAGCCACAGGTCTCTTCTGATAAAAAAAAAAAAGAAAGCTATGCAAATAATAAAATTCACCTGACTAGGCAAATACTTGTTGTTATGTTATATTAGTTTAAAATATTCAGTAACTTGGATTCCAGGCTTGCATACTTGCACTTGTTTTTAGGGAGAGTCTAAGTATTCAAGTGTTATTTGATTCATTTTATTTGCATTGATCATAGTCACAAAGCTTGTAGAATAGGTTAAATACAGGCTGCTTATTCTAAGTGATGGCAGCGCCAGCGAAGGATTTATTTGTACCATGCATAGCCTATAGGGAATGGTTAATTTTGAAATTTGAAGGTTGTTTATTCTTTGAAAAGAGGATTCAGCTAAAAAAAAAAGTATTTGGAATGCACTGTATCTATGGAACTAGCAGAGCTGATGCCACTTATGAAGTCTGTTTATTGTATTTATTAGCCTAATTAACCAAATTACAATAAATGATCGAATATGTACAATTATGTTTTACAAGAAAAATTTAATCTTGTAAATATCTAATTTCATATTTTAGGAAAAATAGGCAATAAGAACACACTCACCTGTTAGTGATGTTAAACCGGGGAAGTAAAAATCTCAGGATGGATCAATAACTGCATTTTCAACTCTGAACATGTAGACGTGGTAGTAAAAAAAACAATGAAGGAAGGAAAACAACTTTCAGTTTATATTACCACAATATATTCCGTTTAATTTATGCATTAAGCCAGTTACAAAATTTCTGAAATTTGATTAAAGAGATGTGTTGGTGTTTCGGGCGACTGCTTGTTTCGTTTGAGGCATTGACTGGAATTGACAGGCCCCGCCCACCAGCATACGGGAATAATCGCTACTGTGGCGACGCCATCGCTCATAAATATTACTTAGCCTACGCTATGAAGACGTCGCTTGGCAGACTATCAGTCACGTAACCTGATTAATATTCATAAGCCAAGCATTCGAAATTGTAGGTTTTCATTTTATTCATTTGATGAATAGACCCTTTTTCTGTTAGTAAACATTGTGACGTTTTTCTGTGGGCGGAGCTTAGGTGGAGGCATGAAGTTTGTTAGCTTGTTTTGTTGTTGTTGTTGTTTTTGTTTTTTTAACAATGACAGAGTAAATGTTCACAAGGCAATCCTGCATTATCCTATGGAAGTGTATCTGTAGAGCTACAGAACAGCTTGAGAAAACATATGGTATAATGTGGATTAATGTTTGTGGTTATATTTAAATGCATCTACTTTTATATTTAACATGTACAGACAAACAGGCAGAGGTTATTCTGTGCTTGATTACAAAATATCTGTTCCAGTGATGCACTTGTCCTCAACACCTTTACAATCCAGTGTTCTATTGGTTGAACAGTTTGTGTCATTGCAGGTGTAACACATCTTTCCGTTAGATGAGCCTGAACAGAAAAGCAGAGACTGGAGCCATACCTCAAAAAAACCTTAGCAGTCATCATCTGACACTTTATCAGACAATACTAAAGCTTTCAAACTTCAAAAAGGACACAAAAGACCACAAGTATCATGGTGGTGATCCATAGCTAAAAGTTTACTGTGCTTTGTTTTTGTGTGTTTGCTGCTGTGGTTTTTCCCTTTTCAAATCCTTCAGGAATTGTTTCCCCAAATGTATTTCATTTTAATTTATTTGCATACATAGTTACATTGTTTTTCTCTACAGTACATGATACAGCTGAATGCAAATATCATCCTATACTGTATGTGGCCAAAATAAATAAATAATAATAATAATAAATAAATAAATCAAATCTATAACCAGAACAAAATGGGAAACTGCAAGCATCTGACTTCTGTAACCAGTGGCAAAATCCCCTTCAGTCTGCTGTGAATAAGGATAGGGGCTGATAAACTATATTTTTTTGCATATTTATGTAGGTTGATATTTTCAAAACAAATGTTCCACTTTTAAAGACAGACTATCAGTTGTTCAAGGAATGCAGAGGAAAATACTTATTTCCTTTACCCTTTTATGGACATCAACAAGCGTGCTTCAAATTGTCTAGTAAAATATTTGGGATTAGGATCATTGGGATCCCATTAGTATTCTTTTTATTCATTTTTAGAATAATTTATTCAGTATAAAATATGAGTTCTTGACAGCAGAGGAGGCCCTTATTTATCATTTACTTACACTCATGTTGTTCCAAACCTATATGGCTGATCTGTGATCTGTGAAACACAAAGGCAAACACGACAGGTGAAATGTTTATTTTTTGGGGTGAACTAATCCATTAATTATGGAAGCCCGTTTCCGCCACTGAATAAAAAAATATAATTCTGTAAGTCATAATAATGAGAAACTTTAAGCCAAGCAAAAGGGTAATGTAGCAAATGATATATGTCTTCATAAGGGTTTAATTTCTTTTGATTGTTTTTAACATGATGCCCGGTGTCAAACTAGCTTTAGACAAAAAGTAAACATAAACATAAACATGAGTGCCTCCACCCCCACCAATATATTTGAAACATGAGATGTGCAAATTTCAACCTAGTTTCCTCTACGTCATCTATCCCACGATTTCCCATAAGACAAGAATAACAAGACCATAAATGAGCAGTGAGTACATTAGAAGTCCTCCTGACACACAGCGTCACATATCCTATTCATTCCAATTAAAGCATTAGTAACACATTAATAATCAAGTACATCTATGAAACATACAAAAGAATATTACTTCAGAGGCATGTCTGATTGGTCCTTTAGGAATTTGGGGAAGCCCTCAGTAGCAACACATGGTCAGTCATTGAAACATTTGACACAATGACACTTTATACAGACCAATTAATTTCTGGATTCCTCTTCAAATCGAGCCATGCTTCGGGTATTTTGCACCGTTTGCACCTACTCAGTCACTTCTCTAAAATGAAAAGCCTGTTATATAGATAGTCAGTTTTGTTAGCAAGGAAATACTTTTAGTCCCACCAAACCACACTTACAGTATTTGCATTTCACCAGGCTGGAAACATAAAATTCTAACTATGACATGAATAGTTTATCTTCTCGTGGAAACCAGGAAATGTGAAGGCCACAGCTCAATAATCTATTTAAGCAATAAGTAATATTTGTCACTCATTGTTGGCTCATTTAAAACCATAGATGTTAAGTTTAAACAGTGGCTGGTCTAGTAAAAAGCACAGGCCTAGATGTTTAGTTTCCAGCAGTGCAAAAACATTGTGAGCATTTATTAGATTGTTAGTGCTAATCTACTGCCTTCAAAGGGCCACGTTTGAAAGCAATTATCTCGTAATATCGTTTTTTTATACTTTGACAACTGCTCATAGGAATGGTACTGGTACTTCACCAGCGTGAGTAGCCCTCAAAATAGCAAATAAACCCCTAATATCTGACAGCATCCGTTTACATCTTTATCCATTCAAGTAGGGTCACAGATGCTGCTCTTTCAGCAGTCTGGGGTCAGACGTTCACTAGTGTTTCTGGTGTTCAGAACTGCCTAAACTTGCTCAGTATGTTAACGGACTGAGTATGAACAGACGATCCTCTTCCTTCCTGATCCACTTCAGGAGCTTGTTGACGGCAGACACAGCCAGGCCCTTTGTTCCCAGAGGACTAAAACAGAGGTAGAGCTCGAAACCACTTGTTACCTACAGAAGAGGATGCATTACATTGATCAAAAGTGACAGTAAAGACATTAACGCTGTTATAAACAATTTCTATTTCAAATAAAAGCTGTTCTTTTGACCTTTCCTAACCCAAAGCTTCATTTTGCTCAATGGTAGTGCATGACTATATAGCACAAAACTGTAAATCAAGACAACACAGAAATCATAATGCTATAAATCTATCATATGCAAATGTGATACTTCCTCGAGCATGCATACACACAACAAAATCTCTGAATGAATGGAATCTAATAATGCCACTGTATTGCACTTTATGGCAGACTCACCAAGGCATAAAGGTTCTCGGTCTCTGTGCAGCGGTAAATGTAGCGCAGGGGACGTGTGGGGTGATGCAGGCAGCTGTGCAGGTGCTGGTACAATCCTATCAGCTTCTCATGCTCCTCTTCTGCCTGGTATGGTGCTGGAAAGTCAGGA